AGGGGCGGCCGCAAGGTGCCGCCGTCAGCACCCACGCACTCGACCCATCTCACACACCAGTCCCGTGCCCTTCTCCTCTGGGGTGGCAGACGCAGGAGGTCACTAGTGTCATAGAAGCGTTACAGAATCAACCAGGCTGGAAAACCTGAGGCTTTAACCTCATCCAGTCCAACCGTTCCCCAGCCCTGCCAAGGCCACCACTAACCCATGGCACAGGCCTCATCTACATGGTGTGTGAACACTTGCAGGGGCAGTGACTCCAGCACTGCCTTGGGCAGCCTGTTCCAATATCTGACTAGGCACTGTATGAGTGCAGGTATATGCACATGTGGGGTTCACAAGCACATGCACACTTGGGGTTCCCTTGAGTACCAGCACAGCCCCTCTGTTCCCTTGGCACCCCCACCTGCATCCCAGCCCTCCCACCTGCCGTGGGTCCTGGGCTCACCACCTGGTCCAGCTTGAGTTTTCCTGGTGACTACACAACTTTCCCCACGCCCAGTTTTGGGGGCAGGATACTCTGGTCCCCAACCAGACACACAGGCTGTGACACGCGATCCAGCTCCAGCTGCACAGAGCCACTCATTTGCATCACGCTGGTCCTCTCCAATAGCTAGTTTTGGGGATAACATTCCCAGCCCGTGGTTGGTCGTAAAAGACCCCCTCTCACTGCAGTAGGTGACACCAAATCCCCTGATGCACACACAGGTCTCCCCAGTACGTGGCACCTGGTCCTTGCAGCACGCACTCAAACAGGACCAAGTGAGATGATGCAGAGAAATGATTACAAAAACGTTTAATATGAAAATATAAAAAGCCAGGACAGACTGTGGTGACCGGCACAGGGCTCAGCCTGGGTTATAACCAAATGGCCCCTTTTAATACATCTTCCTGCCTCTCCCTGCTTTGTTCTTCCTGGTTCCCCTTCCCATCTGCACGGGTCCATTCCTGCACCCCTCCCAGCTCGTGTCCAAGTGTTGAGTCAGACTTTCCCTGAAGATGCATGAACCTGAATCATAGAATCATGGAACGGTTTGGGTTGAAGGGACCTTAAAGCTCATTAAGTCCCACCCTCCTGCCATGGGCAGGGACACCTTCCACTAGAGCAGGTTGCTCAAGAATCTCTTCTGGTATTTTCCATGGCTCCTTTGGGAGGGGCTCCTTCGGGAGGGGCTCCTTCGCCTGGCTGCTGCTGGGGTCACGATACTTGTTTGCTCCTCTGCCAGCAGCTGCCTCGAGCTTCTGGAGAGGTAGGGCCCTGACTCAGGGAAGCAGACAGATCCAAGGTATTGGCACTGGATTGGGAACCAAGGTCTCTTGTTCCAGCAGCTTCTCACCAGTGGCTGTCATGACACTGTCCACTACTGGCAATAGAGTCAGCCAAGCAATGCAGGCCTGCAACCAGGAGGCTCAGAGGGATAATTGCATTTTGCATTGGATTTTGCCTTGTAATGTTGGGATTCCGCATTGTAACTGCCCTTCCATTGCTCCCATAAGCTGAACAATGGGAGAAAAAGCAGTTCTGCTTTCCCAGGCCTAGCCGGACTTCTCCAGATCTGCAATGAGATATGGGTCTTTCATCTGGAGGATCTGGTAGAGCTGTTCCTGGGCCTCCAGACTTTTCTTCTCAATTAGATCCAGCAAAATTAGGTTCCTTTTTAGACTCTTATTTTGACCTTGCACCTCCTCTTCTTCATCACTATTGATGACATTTGCATCCCGTAAGTGCAGCAGAATGGTGGAGAACTGCCTCATCCTGGAGCAAAGTTTGGTCTTGTGCTTCTTCAGGAATGCTGCACCTAGCAAAGACCGAGCCCTTGTTACTGTGCTGCAGCAGCCAAGTGATGCACTGCTGCACGTGGCATCCAAAGCCAGCGGACAGCCACGTGGCTCCATCCGTCCACCGACAAGGATGGGCACCAGCTGCAACAGCAGTGGGAGCACTGGAGGCAGGGCAAGGAAGGAGAAACCAGCTGTGGGAGCACCGGAAGCAAGGCAAGGAAGGAGGAACCAGTTTGGAGGGTCACCTGCACCATGCCATTTTACCTAACAGCATGGCACAGAGCGTGCTGCCACCAATGTGAGAAAAACAGTTTGAGGTTGCAGCTTTCAAGGCTTTTTGTCTAGAAACTATCATAAGGATCGGAAAAGAGGCTGATATCTGCTTTAAACCAGAGAATGGTGAGCTCCAAAGAAGTAGATTTAGACTCTAGAAAGGCAGGTCTGAAACACTGTACTGACCTGACATGGTCATGGAGACAAAGGCAGGAGGATTAATATCACCTGAAAGAGAAAGAGGTCACTGAAAATGCCATCACTGAAATGACAGTGCCCAATCCTCCACATCTTCCTGGGGTGGCCAATTCTCCACAAAGCTCTTAGCCATTCCTCCTACTGTTCCTGCCCATCTGCGCAGAACTCAGTGGTAGGTGTTACTCTTGGGGGGTGCTGGATTAGACCAGCAGAGGGGGGGTCTCAAGGCACGATGAGCAGTACCGTACCCTGCACCTGTGAGCAGCTGCTGCTCGCAACTCCTCTGCCAAGCTTCCCCACAGGGAAGCTGGACTGAGGACTGAGGACTCCAGAGCTGGGGGCAGACTCCAGGTGAGGTCTCACCAGAGTAGAGCAGAGGGGCAGAATCACCTCCCTCAACCTGCTGCCATGCTCCTCTGGCTCCAGCTCAGGATACAATTGGCCTCTGGGCTGCAAGCACACAGTGCCGGCTCTTGTCCAACCCTTCATCCCCCAGTGCCCCCAAGTCCTTCTCCTCAGGGCCACTCTCAATCCCTCAATCCCCCAGCTTGTATTGATACCAGGGGTTGCCCCGACCCAGGGGCCAGGAGTCTGCACTTGGCCTTGTTGAACCTCATGAGGTTCAAGATGCCTAATTTTACTGATGTTTACCTCCTTTGTGTCACACTGCGGTTGCACCAGGAGACCCACAGGTGTTCCTTACATTCATTGGCTTCTAAAAATAAGTCAGCTTTCTATGTAAAGAGTAGCCAAGAGAAGAGACACTGACAGGGCTATCATGCTCTCCTAAACCCCAGCATATGAAATTCCACATTCAATTTGAAGCTCTGGTCTGATGTACACTGAGGTGTCCTTTCAGGTCCCTATATTCTTCAGTGGCCTGTTTTTGCATACATACCCAGCGTTTGCTTTTCCTGCAGGATGCGTGGATGACTGGGACCACAAAATATGTGAGGTCTGCTTGGGTGATGCACTTCTGCTTTTGCTAAGGTAAATGAGCTTCTACACGGACCTGCTGTTCCTACCTGATCTCAGCGATGCCCTCCAGACCTCGGTATTATCACGTGTGTTTGTCATAAGGAGCCCAATTTCCTCTGCCATGTTCTTGATGTAAATCTCGACGAAGAGCTGCTGTTCCTTTGGACTCTTGTAATAAAAGGGCAAGTGTGCCTGTAAAGACAAGTAGCAAGTTGAGTGTCACCGGGGGGAGCTGCAGTGAATTCACATACATCATCCTGTGTCTCCTGGCTACAACAGCAAGAGCAAAGAGAAGGGAAGATGCACATGTCAGGGCTCTGCTATGCTGTCAACAGCACTAATTTCGGTTGGAAGAGACCTCTGGAGCATCTTATCTGACCTACCTCCCAAAGATGGACCAATGTCCAGTCTAGATTTGCTGAGCCAGGGCTTTGTCTAGCTGAGCACTGAAAAACTCAGGATGCAGAGATTTAGCACTTTCTAACCTGCTCTGATGGCTGGATCTCCACTGAGTAATACATATTTTCCCAACATTCAGCCTGAACTTCCCAGGTTGCAAGTTATGGCTTCTACCGCTTTTACCTGATCCTGCCAAGAGCTTGGCTCTGTCATCTTTAGAACTGCTCTTTGGGGCTTTGGGGTGTGCTCTGCAGTCTTTCTGGGGACCTATATCATGAAATATCTTTGCCACTTGGAAGCAGTACAGCTACCTGCGCCCCTGCCTCTGAGACAGAGCAGGACAGGTTCTGGCAGCAGAATATGGCTGAAGACAGAGACTTCTGGCATCTTCTACCTCACTGGAAAAAAAAAGGGGGGGGGGTAACAATCCCACTTACTTCAGGTGTTATCACCACCAAGTCTGTACTGGTCACCCGGTAAATGCAGCTGAAGAACAGAGGGTTGAATGGAGGAGGCTTGGGAATAAGCTTTGAATTCTAATCCTTTTCTAGGTTTTCAACAGCCTGTAAACATCAAGCATTGCTTTTGAGAGAGAAAAGAAAAACACCAGAAGGGCTGTGACCTGGAGATGGTCCTCAGGAAGCCAAGAAGAGACTGACTAAATCAGAACAGACCAGTGGGTGTGTGTCACAGGCAGTGCTCCTCTTCAGCAGCTCCCGCTCCATACAGGCAGGAACCCCCTGTGTGCAGGCAGGAACATGGGCAGGATGATGCACTGTCTCTGCGACAGAGGCTAGGGGCTTGCAGGCAGCAGAAGAGCTGGTGAGCAGCCACCTAGTGCTGTGCCTGGCAGTGGCCACAAGTCCTACGTCTGCTCCATGTTGCAGAGCATCCTGTGCCATGGCTTTGCTGTCCCAGCTGAAAACATGGATAGCGATTCCTTGACACGTCTGTGAAAGAGAGTAGGGTAGGCAGGAGCGAGGATGCTGTCTTGCAGTGGGAGATGGGGGCACAGGACAGTGTGTGAATCAGAGGGAGCAAACGTGAGAGGCATCTCTGCTTATCAAATCCAGTCCCTGCTACTGCAGCCGTACAGATGTCACCCTTTTGTAACTCAGTCAAGCTCCCCGTCTTACCTGCTTCACAGAGTTGTCATCTGGGATCAGGTAGAGGTGAAGAGTTGTACTTGCAGCCCTGAGCTGCTAGTAGATCAGCATCAAAGAATGCATAGGAAATGAACTTAAGGTTGAACGTAACTTCCTCCAAAGCACCCCAAGCAGTGAGAAGCTGGGATTCTCCAGGACAGCAAAGAATGCAACCAGCCTGGTTGGTTTCTCCAGGATTATCTTCTCAGATTTAAAATGGGCAATGGAGCATAGGCTGGTGTTTACATCTTCTGCAAGAGACAGCAAAGGCGACAAGGTTCTGTTTAGTTGTTCTGTCACCCTCTTAGGGTGTCAAGCTTGAGCAGCAGAAAGGGGACATGCACCCACACATGATGACATGCTCTGCTTTAGGTCCCAGGTGTGCCCTGGGCTTTTGGGGTTTGGCAGGGAGCTGCAGGCCCAGAAACCTGCAGATCTGAACTCTAATGACAGCTCTTTTCTCCGCACACCCGTGTCAATGAGGAGTACATAGAGCCACTGTCCAGCCGTCATGACTGTGCCTGCAGGCCCTGGGTGGAAGATGGAGCCAGACAACAAGAAGCTCTTTTTGCAGCAGCTCTTTTTTGGAGGAGGACATGGATTTGCCACAAAAGTCTCTCATCCAGCACACCCAGTGCCTGTGTCAGGGCCACAGCATGGGTATGGGACTCCTCTGCACACTCAGGTGCTGATGCTCCTTCTCCACTCATTAGCAGTGGCTTGGTAAGAGCACTGTGGGGCAGAGGACCCAGATCCAAGCCTTGTGACTCCTCATGTTGCCTGGGGGAAAATGGACAATTCCATTCCACTTCCTCTTCTGCCTGGACCAGCTCTGACCTATTGCATCCCACCCTGGAGTGGTCCAGTCTGGGGCTTGGTGCAGTTGGCTGGCTGCTGTCCCAGTAGAGCAGAGCAGGGGCAACCATTGCCATCCACAGCTGCCACAGATGCAAAGAGCTGCGAAACTCCCTGGGGGAGTCTGGGGTAGTGCCCAGGAGGAGAGGGTGGGTGAGGAGGTGCTGGTGGTGTGGGGCAGGAGCTGGTGAAGGACCACTGGGGAAAGGCTTGGTAGAAGATGAAAGAAGGATAAAGGATTCCAAAGCAAAGCAGAGGAATACAGAGGAGTACAGGGAATCTTGGAGGGAAGAGACAATTTAGCACTTTCTGAAGAGATGTCCCAGGGGGCACAGGCAGGGGCATGGTGCATTGGGAGGCCCAGGTCCCTGTAGCTGCTGTACCTGCCAGGCAGATGAAATGGGGGGATGTACTGTCTGCACAACCCTGGGCTGCACCCTGATGTGGAAGAGGGGTCCAGCAGGCATCCACATTTCCTCATCAGCCTTGCTGAGGTGCCTGCTCCAGGTGGCATATCTGTAGGTGATGGTCGCTGCCGACTTCACCTTAAAGCCAAGGCCTGTGATGGAGCACTGGAAGATGCCTGCACCAGGGAGGTGAGCTCTGTGGGTGGAAGGGATGACAGGATCATGCCACCAGGGATGGGGCTTTTGGAAATGCTCCCTCTTCCCCCCACAGTGCTTACTGGTACATGGTGTGGTGCTTCAAAGCATCTTGGATTATCTCTGGCATCACTTCTGGAAGATCCTGCAACGTAAGTGTGGCCAATTTGGGTCTGAATGGAGTGTTGTGCTGGGATTTACAGTGAAGCATGGTGCAGCCTGGCATGGGAGCTCAGCGCCTGTGCCTGGTGCCCAGCAAGGCATTGCTCTCATCAGTGATGAGTCCAGGAAAATCATTATCTGGCAACTCGTCTGCTCTGGAATCCAAAACAAACACTGGCTATTTCTGAGCTGCGTGACCCCTTTAATGCCTGCAGATCCCTGCAGCAGTGCCCAAGAGATATCCTGTGCAAAGGTATGGCAAGGAGGACTGAACACTTAGCCCCACCTGGGTAGATGCCACTGAGGTGAGGAAGGCATTGGCTAGTACATGCAGCAGTAGGAAAGTGGACACACAGCTCCTGGAGCTCCAAATAGTGTGTTTCACCTGCTGATTTCTAGGAAGCATTATGCAACTGGAACTTCAGGATAGGAAAGCTGCTACTTCCTGAGAGAAAATTTTGTGGGTGCTGACTTCCTTGTAAGTAAACCTGGGTTGTTCCCTCTGCCATTGTATATCAGCAGAGGAAACAATGGCCACAGGCAGGTGGAATGTTTAGCAGTGAGAATAAATATGGGATACGAGCAAGAGGGATTTGTCTTCCTGCAAACTTGGAAACTGGGGTGGCGCGTGGTGGGTTAGCACAGCAAAAGGGACCAGACTCTCCTGGAAGATGACAAATTGCTGTAACGGCTTGTGAGGGTGCACCCGGTGACAGCCAGGTCAGTGCCTGGCTCCCTCTGTGCTGCTTCCTACGGGTGTATGAGGGGATGAAGGCACGGATCCAGAGCATCTTCATGCAGTGAATCAGTTTATTGCCTACTGCTCTAACTTTTTATATCATTCTAACAACAGTTACTTTTAGCCTATTGCTCTAGCTTTTATACCATTCTATTTGTAGCCTATCATGTTTAGTTCCCGACTTATAGTTTGTTTTTTAACACTGCTTGCTTTCTCACAGCCAGTCCCAGGGTAGCCAGTCTCTTATCTTTATGCTCTCTCCTCCTCAGCCAGCTGGGTTGCTCTGCTTGATTGTACTTTGTTTCTTCTTTAACTCTTTCTTCTCCAGCCAAGCAGTTACTTCTCTTTGGCAATAATCAAATAGTTTCCATTGTCTCCCACATTTCTCCCTTCTTTATTTATCTGTGAAAGCGCAAGGTTCTCATATAACTGTGTTT